TGAAGACATTTTCGAATTGGAAACGTTCGCGAATTATCCAATTTCTACTATATTATTTAAAATAAAATTTACATATATATATTAGATAATAAAAGGCATATATTGGATTTAATAAAATATTTATTTTGCCAATATTTCGGCTGGATGAACGCCAACCTTTATCGAGGCATTACATTTTTGTATACACAAACTCAGCGCCGCATAGTGTTATAATAACACAGTTGAAATAATTTAAAATACAAATATTGTGTTTGAGCTAGTGATTTATTAGACACAAAAGAAGAAAAAGTTATTTCAAATACTTTTCAGATTTTTAAACTTTTTTTTTTTGTGGAAAATGACATCTCCTTATCGTGCAACTGAAATTTGCTATTTGCTTGCGCCATCTATCTGAATAAATATCAACTATTCTCGTTGATTTTTTTAATTATTCCAGAATTGGCCAAATACCCATTCTTGATTAATCAAGAAAAAAAAAATTTTTTGTTTGTTCAAATAAAAATCCTTATATGAAGATAGGTAAAACATATATTTTTATTTGATCCATCAAATTTTTGAATAATATAATTTTATTCCTTCATTTTTACACGTCGATGTATATCTGATAGGAACATTTATTTATGTTGTTGTTGTCGTGTCCAAAGAAGAGTCTTAGATGTCTCCATGCATCTCCATCACAGCAGCAGCAATATCCACTATCTTTGCTCTTCATTAAAAAATGGGTGCCGTTGCCACGTTAATCACCTTGGAAACGAACCAGAATTTGGTCGAATATTCCAAGGGTCCAGGGGGGACCCTTTATTTATATTTGTTATCATTTATTATCATCTACTTATATAATTGCCTTATTCTGTCTGTGTGAAGTTCACGGATAGAATTTGGTCAGAATGGATAAAATAAAAAAAGTGTCAAGGGATCGGAATCGAACTCACGACCTTCCGCTTACCGGGCAGATGCCATGACCACTAGGCCACATGACCACAATTTATAATTGTAACAAATAGTATTTGAATCAAAACATTCAATCGGGGAAAACACGGGCGTTGCCCAGGTCATTCGGCTAGTTTATTTATAAATACATAGATAGAAAGTGGCGATAGGATGATATTATTGTACCAAAAGAGGCACTAAAGATATCCTTTAATATCCCCTCACGTAGGATGTTATGAGATCGAAGCCGCCCCTGTACTGATGAGGGCCATAGGTTGAAACCATGGTATATAGGTTTTTATAATACAATATAATGCGGCTTATGATTGTAAAAACGACATTTTAAAATCATCCCGCATGTGTTTCTTTTAAACGAAAAATCAAAATTTATTTTTTAAGGAGAAATAACGATTATTTCTAACCTTAGACAATTGACAATTAAAATAATTTTTGAAGTAAACGAAAAAATTGCGCTACGAATTTTAAAATAAAAATAGAACCTTTCGCAATGAGTTTCTTTTATTATGAATGAGAAACTCATTGCGAGAAAGGTTGTATTTTTATTTTAAAATAATTTTATTGACATCTTGTCAATACATGTAAAGTGCACAGTCTGCACTATTAAAAAAAAAAGATAATATGGATTATAAACACTATGTACAATGAATATGGCGCCTCTGCCACCGCTGCAGAGTTTGGTGGAGAATCGCCAGCGGGTCTCCAGCGACACCATGTATTTCGTGATCTACAAAGAATACGTAGATCGCGTACTTCGCCGCTGAGGAGATGATGATGGTATGGTCCTCGAGACCAACTGGAAAGATTTAGAAACTGGAAATACCTTAGAGATGAGGGATAAAAGGATGAATTGTGAAGAGTAATGATAAAAGGAAAACTAAAAGTGTTCAGATACAGGTTGTTGACTTTTATCTGAAATTTTCCAAAACTGATGTTGAGGCTCATTCTTTATTATCCCTAGTAAATCTTTTTACTAGACTAGGAGTCGGCAAACTGCAGGCTCGCGAGCTACATGCGGATCTTTGGATGTGAAGCTGCGGCTCTTTATATAGTTCCATATGTAAATATTATTTATGTGAGTACTATATTTATTGTTGGCAAGAAAAAATATTGTGGCTCTTTAAAAACTATGAAATTTTGTAAATTGTAATTTTTGACTCTTCCGACTCAAAAGTTGCCGATCCCTGTTCTAGGGAAATGAATAAAAGTGCATCGTTCTTATGTATAAATTAAAGGAAGATATACCTCTTATGGTTCATATATAGATATGAAAAACCAATAGAAAAAATTAAAGATAAGTGGGTCAGGTGTTGATATTAAAAATAAAGAAGGCATCCCCATCTAATGGAGCAAAAATAAACTAAACGTTTATTCAGCTTGCTCCGTGATATTTGGCCAACCTAATTTCTTAATAAATCAAGAAAAGCCATCCACGAACGTGTTTCGCGCTGTTGGCGCTCTTTTTTGGTCGCAGTGGTTACAGCCTACTCCACGCTGACGAGCGCCAACAGCGCGAAACGCGTTCGTGGATGGATTTTCTTGATTTATCAAGAAATTGAGTTGGCCAAATATCACGGAACAAGCTAAATAAACGTTTAGTTTATTTTAGCGACACTAGATGGCGCTCTGCCATCTAAAAAGCACATGTGCTCGTGGTCAGGAGATGCCTTCTTCATTTTTAATATATAGATATATGTGTCTTCATTCAAATTATTCTTAGGTGTTGGTAGGTTGTGTTGTATGAAATAAGGATCTTTGAGAGAACCAGAACCTGATGTTATTATTCGCAATATATAGGCATATTTAAAAATTGTAGAATGAAATTTGCTGTATTATTGTCAAATTTCGTTCTACAATCATAAGCCGCATTATATTGTATTATATTTAAAAATTAATAAAATCCTTTAAATTTTCTTTATTTCGTATAACATCATCCACATCAGTTAGTGAAAATAATCAAATGGGATTATGACATCTTGTATAAGGGAAATTTTGGAACAGTTTCAATACGTGAAGATATGTTTTTTTATATGTTTCCAAGTATAGAGACAGTCGTATACCTCTGCAAGTACTCTCTCGATATACATTTTCTTCGTAGATCGCGAAATGCGTGGGGTCGCTGGGGACCCACTGATGATCTTCCACCAATCTGGCTCTTCGGCATCGGCCTCCATCCCGAGGCAGTGAAAATAACAAGTGTGGCGAAGGCTACCATCTACAAGTACCATCTTGGTCTTGAGGTGGGCAACGCCAGCCAACACCTAGACCTGCCCACTCTGTGGGAGAGAACTCTCGCAGTCCACCGGTGGCGGAGTCTTTCCCGTGGTGGGCGCCACCAATGAAGACCTTGTATATATTTATATATATATATGTATATTCATCAATTATTTTTTATCTATTTATATATATATATTTTTACTATATTTATCATTATATAATCATATTTATTCACATTTATGTATTTAATCATATATAATCTTATATGGACTTTGAAATAAAGTAGTTTCAATCTCAATCTCTTCCACCAATCTCTGCAGCGGTGGCAGAGGTGGCATGTGCAATGTCATTGTACGTAGCATATTTTTCATATATATTTTTCGTTTTTATGATCATTTTGATTATTGTTAACTTATCATAATTAGTGCGGACTGTGTACTTTCCTGTATTGACAAGATGTCAATAAAAATATGTTAATTGTCATTGTCTCTCTCTCTTGAAGTAACCGCGATTCCTGGAGCCACGTACCAAAGTCATCAACTATCCAGGTTGAGACGTCTAATGGTGGACATCCAGTTTATCAGATGTACTGTACTTGGTTCTGTAGGTCTTTAGAGGTAAATATACTTATTCCTAGGAGGATGGCTGTTTGGAACCTATGAAGGTGAGACATCTGTGGTGGATGACAGTTTGGTCTTCCTGATGACAATGTGGGCAAGTAGGATCGTCTTTTGATATTTTTTCAGCATCGGCTTTGACAAAGCCTTGACCTGTAAGCCTGTACCATCAGAATACATAAGCCAAAGAATAACTGCAATGTATCTTAAGTAAATTGAATTGAAGATCATTTTATTGACATCAAGTCAATCGCTATAAAAAGTAATAAACCATTTCAAAAGTGACTAAAGGTGGCAACGGCACCCATTTTACAATAAAGAACAAACAAGATTGAGAACATTGCTGTGATAGATATGCACGCGAAGATATCTGAGGCTCTTCATTGGACACGACAACAACACAATAATATTTATTCTATAAAATAATTCCTTGTATCAATATTGAGTGAAATTAATCATTCCTCCAGGGAAAAGTATCTTTTCAAAACACCTTTATTCTCTAGCCTTCAGGCACGGACGCCCATCTACAGGAGAAAACTATACCATGTTTTCTCATGATGAATTAGCGGGTCATCTGTTATCAAAATTGGAAACTATTATAGACGCGTATGATTCTTTTTTAAAAATAAACAATTTCTACTGCCCTTACTGCAATGGAAAAATTAATGGGAGGGCCTGGCTCATCAGTGGTGAACCCTCCCAGCGGTTTCGTCAGTTTAATCTACAATACCGCTGTAATATTACATTTTTCGATCTTCCTTTTATAGTGATACTGATGCTAGACTCTTTGAATGGGTATTTTAGATGTACTATGGACATAAGCTAAGAGAACAGCAGAATTACATTCAATTATAAATATATAATTCACCACTGATGAGCCAGGCCCTCCCATTAATTTTTCCATTGCAGTAAGGGCAGTAGAAATTGTTTATTTTTAAAAAGAATCATACGCCTCTATAATAGTTACCATGTTTTCTCCTTTAGAAGGGCGTTTGTGTCCGAAAGCTAAAGAATAATGGTATTTTGAAAAAGATACTTTTCCCTGGAGTCCTGATATACTTTACTCAATAATATACATATGTCATAATTTAATATATATCCTTCCAGGAATCAATAAAGAAAAGAGATTGGAGCGACTTTGAGAAGAATACGTATTGGAAACTGGACTCGCTGCCTAGTCGTGGTTAGAGCAATATTTAGAACAAAATAGGTATTGGAAACACACACACACACAAAAGCCTTTATTAGGGACTTGCCCCATACAGATTCTCCCAATTGGGTCAGGTAATCATCATCTTGTGTTATTTACATAGAAATTGAACTGGCTTTACTCATCGTCTCAAAGTCATTCCATTGTTGACTGGTCCTTACATAATGATGATCTAAAAAATTTATAGTAATATATTGCCTTAGATTTGTTTGCTGATATTTTTGAAAGCAATACGTAGGGTGAAGTGCTAGGTATTGTAAATATGATGATATATATATGATGATTTATGATAATATGATGATGTATATATTTATATTAAAAATAGAAACGCTTTCAGTGTAATTATGTACACTTTTTCTTAACTACCCATTTCCTGATTTCTCAGGAATCCTCTTTGGCCAAATTTTTGGTCGCTTTTACGCATAAAACAAATTTTTCTACTGTCCTTACTGCGAAGGAATCATATTGGGAGGGCTTGGTTCATCAGTAGCGAACCCTACTAGCGGTTTCGCCAATTTAATATACCAGACCGTTTCTTAAAGCTCTAATACTGTAAAGTTTGCTTTAATACCAATTCTGAGATTCCACCCTTCAGTGTAGCATATATAAGCAGGAACGTCTAACACAGTATTAGAGCTCTATGAAGCGATATGGTAGATTGAATTGGCGATATTGCTAGGAAGTTTTAGCATAGAACAACGTTTTGTGAACATGTGTGTGATGGATTAAATAATAAAGAAATAAAAAGTAAGCCTTACATACAAACCTGCGAAAGAGCATTGCTCGATGCAAATATTCATATGTAATTCTACTGTCCTAAAAGCTTATGTCCATAGTTTGCTTAAATACCATTTCTAAAACTCCATCCTTCATTGTAGCATATATAGGCAGAATCGTCCAATACAGTATTAGAGCTCTAAGAAGCGGGCTGGTGGATTAAATTGGTGAAACCGCTGGGAGAGTTCACCACTGATGAACCAAGCCCTTC